GAATGCTGCTAGGGCTGCCAAATTGGACGTGATGGCAGGAGCCCCAGCAGACTCACTCAAGTGATACTCTATAGTACAAAACTATAGAGGCTGCATAGAGGCCTCCACCTTTTCAACACAAAGGAACCTGTAAAATAACTTTCTGGTCTCAGGGAGCCCCTACCAAAAATTACTATATCTACAACTCCTGATACATGAATGTGACAGTCATTGGGAAGAATTACCCTTTACAGATCGCTCAAGATCAAAAATGTCTGTCTGAACTTATCTGAGAGGCAGAAACTGTTCATTGTTCAAGGAACTCCTAGCACCCTCGGAGGAACTCTAGTTGAGTAACCCTCCTCTATAGTATTTCCCTTTGCTCCTCTCCCAGCAGCCCCATAAAAAGTTATATAGGGAAGTAAAGATAGGATGGAGGGTATGGGCCAGCACACACGCTCACAGGAGAGGAGAGGGCCATGATGTACAAGAAGGGAGGAGGCTGTGATAGGAAATTGACTCTTCCTGGAGCAGTCAAATTTTCTAGCAACTTCAAAGGCACCTTTAAGCTTTAGGGTCTCTTTAACTATAGACTTGGTCCACAACTCCCCCCCCCCCCCACCATGTGCAGTTCCTTATGTGGACAATCTAATTACTGCATCACGGACAACCCCTTCCTTGAGGTCCAATCAGCATGCTGAATCCTTGCTATTTCCAGCTGTGCATTGTTACAGAGGGGGATCTGTATATAGCAGAGGCACTGATTTGAATTGGCGCCTCTGCAAAATGAAATTACTTGGTTTATGTCAATGTCTTTTTAATGAATCTGTACTGAATATTTAAGAGTTTCCAACACACTCATTAAGTGGTTGGTGAGTTTTTGCCTGTCACAGTGCTAACAAGTTAGATTGCTCAACGTTTACTTCAAACATTTTATTAGCAGAAATGATTGGTGAAGGCATAGATAGCAGATTTCAGTAGATGAAAAAAAGGGCATAAAGTGGGGCCCTTACCAATTTTTTGGTAGCAGGTCAGCCCGTTTTTACTCGGGCAAGGGCAGTAAAAGTGGGTGGTTGAGCCACAGTCATAAATAAGTACACCCCAACAGATTTGTCAGAAATCCTTTACTTTCAGAATCAACATTTTCTATGGGACACTATACTACAAAATACTCCCACAAATGTGGGCCATTGATTGCAAACAAGATTTGTTAATTTGCACACACAAAAAAGTATTTTTCCTAACAAATTCATTCAAGACCATGGTTCAAAAATGAATATACCCCAATGAAAGTCTTATGCAGGCCATAGATGGGTCGAAAAAAAACGGCAGATTTTTCTTTTAAAAAATGAAAAATCGGTCGTTCAAGCGGCCGACGTTACCATCAATGGTAAAAAAAATCGGCCGATTTTCAACCCATCTACAGCTGGCAAAAGTGTCCCTGCAGAGAGCTCCGCTATTTCTTTGACAGTTCTCTGACAGTTCCTTGACATTTATAGAGGTTGCAACAATGTATCTATTTGTTTCCATTTAGGATACAGATGTTTTTATTCGGAAACAAATAGATACAATGTTGCAACCTCTATAAATGTCAAGGAACTGTCAGAGAACTGTCAAAGAAATAGCGGAGCTCTCTGCAGGGACACTTTTTGCTGGACTGGAATTCCTCTTATTTTCATCCTACTTCTTCATCATCCTCTTCTTCTTCATCCTCATCCTCTTCTTCTTCTTCTTCATCCTCTTCTTCTTCGTCATCATCATCCCTCTTCTTCTTCGTCATCATCCTCGTCGTCGTCGTCATCATCCTCTTCTTCTTCTTCTTCTTCGTCATCATCCTCTTCTTGTTCGTCATCCTCATCCTCTTCTACTTCTTCATCATCCTCATCCTCTTCTTCTTCTTCATCCTCTTCTCCTTCTTCTTCATCCTCATCCTCTTCTTCTTCTTCATCCTCATCCTCTTCTTTATCCTCATCCTCTTCTTCTTCTTCTTCATCCTCTTCTCTTTCTTCATCCTCATCTTCTTCTTCCTCATCCTCTTCTTCTTATTCTTCTTCTTCCTCATCCTCTTCTTCTTCCTCATCATCCTCTTCTTCTTCATCATCCTCATCCTCTTCTTCTTCATCCTTATCCTCTTCTTCTTCCTCTTCATCCTCTTCTTCTTCTTCTTCTTCTTCATCCTCTTCTTCTTCTTCATCCTCATCCTCCTCTTCTTCTTCTTCTTCCTCATCCTCTTCTTCTTTTTCTTCTTCTTCTTCTTCATCCTCATCCTCTTCTTCTTCATCGTCCTCTTCTCCTTCATCCTCATCCTTTTCTTCTTCTTCTTCTTCATCATCTTCTTCTTCTTCTTCTCCTTCTTCTTATTCTTCTTCTTCATCCTCATCTTCTTCTTCATCCTCCTCTTCTTCTTCTTCTTCATCCTCATCCTCTTCTTCTTCTTCTTCATCCTTCTTCTTCTTCATCCTCATCTTCTCTTCTTCTTCATCCTCCTCTTCATCCTCATCCTCCTCTTCTTCTTCATCCTCATCCTCTTCTTCTTCATCATCATCCTCTTCTTCATCATCATCATCCTCGTCTTCTTCTTCATCCTCGTCTTCTTCTTCATCCTCATCCTCTTCTTATTCATCCTCATCCTCCTCTTCTTCTTCATCCTCATCCTCCTCTTCTTCTTTTTCTTCTTCTTCCTCATCTTCTTATTCATCCTCATCCTCTTCTTCATCCTCTTCTTCTTCTTCTTCATCCTCTTCTTCTTCATCCTCATCCTCATCCTCTTCTTCTTCTCCTTCTTCTTCTGCTTCTTCCTCATCCTCATCTTCTTCTTCATCCTCATCTTCTTCCTCATCCTCTTCTTCTTCATCCTCTTCTTCTTATTCTTCTTCTTCTTCATCATCTCTTCTTCTTCATCATCCTCATCCTCTGCTTCTTCATCATCCTCGTCCTCTTCTTCATCCTCATCCTCTTCTTCTTCTACTTCTTCTTCCTCATCCTCTGCTTCTTCTTCCTCATCCTCGTCTTCTTCTTCTTCATCATCCTCTTCTTCATCATCCTCGTCTTCTTCTTCTTCCTCATCCTCGTCTTCTTCTTCTTCCTCATCCTCTTCTTCTTTTTCTTCTTCTTCCTCATCTTCTTCTTCATCCTTATCCTCTTCTTCTTCTTCATCCTCTTCTCCTTCTTCTTCATCCTCCTCTTCTTCTTCTTTATCCTCATCCTCTTCTTCTCCTTCTTCTTCTTTCATCCTCATCCTCTTCTTCTTCATCCTCATCCTCTTCTTCTTCATCCTCATCCTCTTCTTCATCCTCATCTTCTTCTTCCTCATCTTCTTCTTCCTCATCCTCATCTTCTTCTTCTCCTTCTTCTTCTTCATCCTCATCCTCTTCTTCTCCTTCTTCTTCTTCATCATCCTCATCCGCATCCTCTTCTTCTTCTTCTTCATCCTCTTCTTCTTCTTATCCTCTTCCTCTTTTTCTTTTTCTTCTTTTTGTCTTCCTCTTGCAGGTCACTGCTCATGCGCAGATTTTTTATCGGCCGATTTGCCCACTAATTGCCGCGAAAATCGGCCGATCGGCAAAATCGGGCGATTTTTTTTTCCAACTTTACCAAATAAAAAAAAAAATGGCCAAAATACCGAAAAACGGCCGAACAAATAGCCCACTAACGATCCGAAAATCGGCCGATTTTCGACCCATCTATGGCCTGCATTAGGAGCAAAGCTAAATTTTAGACAGCAAAATCCTAATTAACAAGAATTCAACTACAGGGGAGTCTAATTATTCATTAAACAGGTGTCCAGCAGACAGTTGAATATAAAAGGGCATTACTTAACAAAGAAATCTTCCCATTTCATGCTGCCAGCAATGGCACCAAATGGAAGAGAAATGTTGCAAGGCCTGAGAATGAAAAAAATGTTGTTACATAAGAAAGGTGAAGGCTACAAGAAGATCAGCAAAGCTTTACTTATCAGTCAGAATTCTGCAGAAAAAGTGATACAAAAATTTAACAAAGATGGCACTGCAACCATCTCACAGAGACATCCAGGCCTTGAAAGGAGCATCTTCTGATGAGAAAGGTTGAAGAAAATCGCCATGCGAGTTCATTTCAGATAGCTAAAGAAGTAGAAAGCCAAACTGGGGTGATTGTATCCCGTGACACAATACAACATACACTACAGGGGAATGGCATGCTTGGGTATCGTTCATGAAGGAAGCCTCTCCTAAAGCCCATGCACAAAAAAACCCACCTAGAATTTACCAGGGCCCATGCTAAAAAAAGAATCAGACTACTAATCTGTACTCCTGGAGTGATGAGACCAAGATAAATTGATAGCTTCAAAACTGTATGGTGTTTGTCAGGGCTCCAGGGTATGACCAGAGGTATGTGACTGACGCAGGGAAACGCAGGCTTCAGATATGTTATAAACAATATGACAATTTATTAAAGACTAACAATACAAACATAAACGCAGTGCAATACTAAAACATAACACAGTGCAAACGAACCAAACCACCCACAGATAACAATATATACAATGCAAGCGTCGTCAGGCAGGCTGGGTCAATAACAATCGGGCAGGTAGGAACAGGGGGTCAGGCAGAGAATGGTCGGGGTCACAAGCCCGGGGTGAAACAGGAGAAGTCAGCAGAGGTCCGGATCAGGCAGGGTCAGCAACGAATCAGTCAGACAGGGACAGGGACGCGGGAAGCAAGATACAGGGCCCAGGAAAAACACACACCAAGGCAGAGACTGCAGGTCTGGCCATCCCTTAAATACACCTGCATGATCAGTTTCAGATGTTTGGCTGGCTGCAGGGTTGAGTCTCTGATTGCCGGGAGCACCCGCTGGCCAGCCCTGGTACTGCAGCCCACAAGGCAGGTGAGTCCCACCATTACTGGCAAGTCCATTCCTGACAGTACCCCCCCCCTCAAGGAGCGGCCTCAGGACGCTCCAAACAGTCCTAGCTGGGCGAAATGTTCCACCGCCCGGGTCTGGTAACTGGCAGGATATCAAAGACTGGCACATCGAGCTGGACTCCGGGCAGCGGCACATTGGGCAGGACTCCGGGCAGCGGCACATTGGGCAGGACTCCGGGCAGCGGCACATTGGGCAGGACTCCGGGCAGCGGCACATCGGGCAGGACTCCGGGCAGCGGCACATTGGGCAGGACTCCGGGCAGTGGCACATCGAGCTGGACTCCGGGCAGAGGCACATCGAGCTGGACTCCGGATCACCAGGCGGAGCAGCGGGCACCAGGCGGGGCGACAGGCATCGGGCCCCCAGGCGGAGCGGTGGGCGCCGGGCCCCCAGGCGGAGCGGCGGGCGCCGGGCCCCCAGGAGGGGCGACAGGCATCGGGCCCCCAGGCGGGGCGACAGGCATCGGGCCCCCAGGCATGACAGCGGGCACTGGGTCATCAGGCATGGGATTGTCTGGCTCGACAGCGGGCATCGGTTCACCAGGTATGACAGCGGGCACTGGGTCACCAGGCATCAGGTCATTTGGCTCGCCAGCGGGCACCGCGTCATCTGGCAAGGCAGTGGGCACCGAGTCACCAGGCACGACAGTGGGCTCCGAGTCAACTGGCATGACCGCGGGCACTGGGTCATCAAGCATTGAATCGTCTGGCAAGACTGCGGGCACCGAGTCGTCTGGCAAGACTGCGGGCACCGAGTCGTCTGGCAAGACTGCGGGTACTGAGTCGTCTGGCAAGACTGCGGGCACCGAGTCATCTGGCAAGACCGCGGGCACCGAGTCAACTGGCGGAACAGCGGGCACCGAGTCAACTGGCGGAACAGCGGGCATCGAGTCAACTGGCGGAACAGCAAGCACCGAGTCAACTGGCGGAACCGCGGGGCACCGAGTCAACTGGCGGAACAGCGGGCACCGAGTCAACTGGCGGAACAGCGGGCATCGAGTCAACTGGCGGAACAGCGGGCACCGAGTCAACTGGCGGAACTGCGGGCACCGAGTCAACTGGCGGAACTGCGGGCACCGAGTCGTCTGGCGGAACTGCGGGCACCGAGTCGTCTGGCGGAACTGCGGGCACCGAGTCGTCTGGCAAGACTGCGGGCACCGAGTCGACTGGCGGAACAGCGGGCACCGAGTCGTCTGGCAAGACTGCGGGCACCGAGTCGTCTGGCAAGACTGCGGGCACCGAGTCAACTGGCAGAACAGCGGGCACCGAGTCAACTGGCGGAACAGCGGGCACCGAGTCGTCTGGGCGGAACCGCGGGCACCGAGTCAACTGGCGGAACCGCGGGCACCGGGTCAACTGGCGGAACAGCGGGCATCGAGTCAACTGGCGGAACAGCGGGCACCGAGTCAACTGGCGGAACTGCGGGCACCGAGTCAACTGGCGGAACCGCGGGGGCACCGAGTCAACTGGCGGAACAGCGGGCATCGAGTCAACTGGCGGAACAGCGGGCACCGAGTCAACTGGCGGAACTGCGGGCACCGAGTCAACTGGCGGAACTGCGGGCACCGAGTCGTCTGGCGGAACTGCGGGCACCGAGTCGTCTGGCGGAACTGCGGGCACCGAGTCGTCTGGCGGAACTGCGGGCACCGAGTCGTCTGGCAAGACTGCGGGCACCGAGTCGACTGGCGGAACAGCGGGCACCGAGTCGTCTGGCAAGACTGCGGGCACCGAGTCGTCTGGCAAGACTGCGGGCACCGAGTCAACTGGCAGAACAGCGGGCACCGAGTCAACTGGTGGAACAGCGGGCACCGAGTCAATTGGCGGAACAGCGGCATCGAGTCAACTGGCGGAACTGCGGGCACAGAGTCGTCTGGCAAGACTGCGGGCACCGAGTCAACTGGCGGAACTGCGGGCACAGAGTCGTCTGGCAAGACTGTGGGCACCGAGTCAACTGGCGGAACAGCGGGCACCGAGTCAACTGGTGGAACAGCGGGCATCGAGTCAACTGGCGGAACAGCGGGCATCGAGTCGTCTGGCAAGACTGACTGCGGGCACCGAGTCAACTGGCAAGACTGCGGGCACCGAGTCAACTGGCAGAACTGCGGGCACCGAGTCAACTGGCAGAACTGCGGGCACCGAGTCGTCTGGCAAGACTGCGGGCACCGAGTCGTCTGGCAAGACTGCGGGCACCGAGTCGTCTGGCAAGACTGCGGGCACCATGTCGACTGGCGGAACAGCGGGCACCGAGTCGCCTGGCAAGACTGCGGGCACCGAGTCGTCTGGCAAGACTGCGGGCACCGGGTCAACTGGCGGAACAGCGGGCATCGAGTCGTCTGGCAAGACTGCGGGCACCGAGTCAACTGGCGGAACAGCGGGCACCGAGTCGTCTGGCATAATAGGATCATCAGGCTGGATCAGTTCATCAGGCTGGGTAGAAACATCATGCTGGGTGGAGGCATCAGGCTGGGTGGAGGCATCAGGCTGGGTGGAGGCATCAGGCTGGGTGGAGGCATCAGGCTGAATGGAGGCATCAGGCTGGGTAGAGGCATCAGGCTGAATTGTGGGTGCCGAGGCACCAGGCTGCACCATGGAAGGCAGGTTCTCAGATGGGAGGCTGACCGGTTTGGATACTGGCAGGATGGTATTGGTTGGAAAAAACTTTCGCCTTTTCCTGGTTTTAGTTACCGGAGTACTGTAAGTAAGCGCAGGTTTGTAAATGGATGGAGCAGCTGGAGACAGAGAAGAGCTGGAGGATGGAACAGGGAAGGGAACAGTTGCTACAGAGGGCTTCTTTACAGGGTTAAAGGCAGGATAGGTGCAGCGAGTGGGAACAGGGTACTGACATGCGGTAGATAGCAGGGTATACTGGGCTGTAACTGGAGGTGATGTTGGGAAAGCAGGAATAGAGCTTTGAAGAAACAGATTTGAAGCAGGACTGGGTTTTTGCAAGCTGACTAAGGCTGGGTGCAACAAGTCTGACCATGTTTGCAGTATGGGTTGAACAAAGCTCAGCTTACACAAAGCCTGTCTGACCAAAGACTGCACTGCGTTTATACAATCCCTTAATACCTGTGGTGAACATGCAGCATAACGCTCCAAGATGTAATCCACATCATCCTCTAATAACCATACCAGGGACTCTACCTGGTCTGCACTAAATGGCGGCAAAAATTCATCCCTGCATTCGGGGGGGTACCAGATGAAACCAACTCGGCACAAACCTGAATCAATGGCTGCACCTCAGAGAATTCTGTGCCCTGATCTACTAGAACATGAGCGATCCGTATACATTCTAGCAGTTCATCCCTGGGATACTCCTTCAGAGTTTGATAAGCATACTCTCTGTCATCAAACACTAGCAGAGATAAATACACAACCTCATCCAGATCCATCCTTCCCAGCAACAAGCCAAGATTGCTTCCCTGTGCAGCCACTTCTGGTCAGGATTGGCCTTGGTGTAATGTCAGGGCTCCAGGGTATGACCAGAGGTATGTGACTGACGCAGGGAAACGCAGGCTTCAGATATGTTATAAACAATATGACAATTTATTAAAGACTAACAATACAAACATAAACGCAGTGCAATACTAAAACATAACACAGTGCAAACGAACCAAACCACCCACAGATAACAATATATACAATGCAAGCGTCATCAGGCAGGCTGGGTCAATAACAATCGGGCAGGTAGGAACAGGGGGTCAGGCAGAGAATGGTTGGGGTCACAAGCCAGGGATGAAACAGGAGAAGTCAGCAGAGGTCCGGATCAGGCAGGGTCAGCAACGAATCAGTCAGACAGAGACAGGGACGCAGGAAGCAAGATACAGGGCCCAGGAAAAACACACACTAAGGCAGAGACTGCAGGTCTGGCCATCCCTTAAATACACCTGCATGATCAGTTTCAGATGTTTGGCTGGCTGCAGGGTTGAGTCTCTGATTGCCGGGAGCACCCGCTGGCCAGCCCTGGTACTGCAGCCCACAAGGCAGGTGAGTCCCACCATTACTGGCAAGTCCATTCCTGACAGTGTTGCAAAGGTGAGGCGTACAAAGAAATATGCATGGTGCCTACAGTGAAACATGGTGGTGGCAGTGTCCTTCTGTGGGGCTGCATGAGTGCTGCTGGTGCCAGAGAGCTGCATTTCATTGATGGTATCATGAATTCAAAGATGTACTTCTCTATATTGAAACAGAAGATGCTAGCATCACTCCGTGCCCTTGGTCGTTGTGCACTTTTCCAACATGACAATGATCCAAAGCACACATCCAAGGCTACTGTTGCATTTCTGAAGAACAGGGTGAAACTGATTCAGTGGCCAAGTATGTGTCCTGATCTGAACCCAATCGAACACCTATGGGGAATTCTGAAGAGACAAGTTGAGCATCATTCTCCATCCAGCATCCAGGCTCTAAAAGAGGTCATTCTTGAAGAATGGAAAAAGATCGATGTTGCAATCTGTCGCCAACTTGTTCATTCCATGACTAGAAGACTTGGTGCTATCCTTACAAATCATGGAAGTCATACAAAATACTAGATGTAGTAGTTTGTGTGTTGTGGAGTGTATTCATTTTTGCATCAACTAATTTGAGTAAAACAATATTTTATAATCAAAGCTTTATTATTACCCTTACTTTCGTGTAATGAGCTAAACAAATGTTCTATAAAACTCAGATTTTCAAAATTTTGGAAACTGTTCTTGTGTTCATTGAGATATTGCTTAAAATCTTACTTTTCAAAAGGGATGTGCTCATTTATGCTGAGCATTCTATATACAGTCTATATAGCCATGGTTGTGGTATGACAAAAATGATACCACGTGTCGCGCATAGGAGGTGGAACCACTGTCAAAAATTACCCATTCAAGTGCTTGGGGCCACACCGCAACCGCTTTACAAAGTGTTTATTGCATTTGCTCATGGTGCTGCAGGCTTTCAATGCTTAACACAAGTGGTGGGAAGGCAACTGGAATGGTAAACCGGTTTAAACTAGCCATTATGTCAGAAATGGTACATAATAATCAAAAACATACCCAGGCCAGGAATAAGAAAGGGCTAATGGCTCTTTCTTGCTTGCTTTTGGTAGTTATAAACACTTATCAGGCGGTGTTTTCCCGGAAACTATATATGCCATCATAACCTTTGATACTGTACCACATAACACAACAAATAAATTGGCAACTTCAGTCAGAGGCACCAGCTAACAGGCACCAACAATTTTCTCTCTATGAAGCTCAGTAAGCTATTACATGACACGAATTACTAGCAGCGCATGCAGTGAATGACGAAAGTGAGGCTTCTTATCTGTTAACTAGTTGTCTCATCATGCAGCGAAAGCAAAAAAAGTTACATTAGTTCCGCTTTCAATGCGAAACATGTCATCACTTTCAGACCTGCAAATCATGTAATGTTTCAATTGTTTTTTTGTCTAACCCTGTAGTTTATAAGGTTTAAAAAAAGAGACAGTGTGTATGCTTGTGTAAATTGTATTCTCCAACAACTCCCATAGCCTTGTATATTGTGCTTCCTAAAGAAGACATCTAAAAGGTTTTGAGGTTGTGTCCACACTCATCTAGTACCATTTCCTGGGGAAGGGAGATCCACATTTTTACTGCTCTAACAGTAAAGAATCCTTTCCTCAGTCTAAGGTTACACCTCCTTTCTTCTAACCTCAAATTGTGGCCACATGTAATCTTCAGGAAACCTTAGAGTAAACGATTTATCACAGTTACTCAGGTCATCTTTGATATACAGAATTTGTACATTGTAAAAATATTCCCCTTAAACGCCTCTTTTCCAGAGTGAATCACTGTAATCTATGGGAAAGGAACATGCAATCTTATGCCTTTTAGTTATACACATAAGCAGGTAGGCCACTTTGTGCCAGAAACTGGAGTGCTTGAAGTGGAACAAAGCAAACACAGGAAGAGCGTGTAAACTCCATGCAGATAGTGTGTCTTGTACTTGTTCTAACATTGCAGGTGCTTGGAATAGAATTATGTTTTCTATGTGTTTGCCTTTAGTGAAAAAGGCTGCCTAATCATCTGCAGCTAATAATCTGAATAGATTTGTTAAACTGATATAATTATTGCTTGTGCATCTGAATGCAGAACACCAACAGAGCCAAGAATCTCTTTTTGACAGTAACCAAGGTCTCAAAGATCAAAATGTTTATAGGATTCTTTGGATTTAGGAGCGAAAACATTTTCCAGCCTTCCTTACTGATGCCAAATCTATTTTGCATGGTCTGTTGGCGAGACAAGTTCCATACTGTTTGTAATCTTTCAAACATTGTTTTTCTTGTCAACATCTTTCCTGGTTCTCATTCTTAGTTGCTGATACTGTGAAATATTGTTCGGGTAAAATGGATTGTCACCAAGACCATGTTTTTAATTTGCATAAATAACTTTATATGAAAATGTCTCCTCCTCTAGCAATATATATAACATGTATAATGTGTATTGTATTGTATGGTCACTAAGCTTAAACACGCACAAAACAGATTTAAAAAACAAAAGAACAGCCATTTCACCTACTCTCTACCTTCTATCTTAAATCAGTATGAAAGGCTAAGATCACCTATTATTTACTAAGTTCCAACATCCCAAGGTACCAATATACCATTAATGTACCTCTGTTTCAGAAAAGATAAAGCTTTCTTTGTCTTCTGGGACAGACATTACCTCAGCCTACAGTATGTTCCATAGAAATCTTCTCCATTACTTCCTGCTCCATCCTGAAATGTGGTATTTAAGACTGAAAAACTGTAACAAGGAAGTAGTTCACCAGTTGACCTTATTAACACATACCCTGCACCTGCCCTCCCGTTCCAAGAAATTGCTCCCACCAACGTCTGAACTCACATGCAATCATTATCAGTTACCACTGTTCTCACTAAATACACAGCCAGTGAGCGATTGTTTTGTTCCTTCGTCTTGCATGGATCATTTATTTGGCAGAGTGTGCAGGAGCTAAGCGATCACATAACAGTCTATGTGGAGCAGAACTGTAGTATTGAAAACAGGCGAAGTGTGTCCCTGGATGTCTGTACAGTTCATTTTCTTCACGTGGAAAAATGTATGTTTGCTTCTGTGTTTGGGATGACGTTACAGCACCAAAAGCGCAACCAGTTCATTTTATGTATAGGTATTGAACTGCAATAGAGACAAAGGCACATGCCTCTCTACTGGTATTGGATGTTTCCATTTTGTATCCATCTTCATAATCCCTTACGGTTTGTTATAGATAGAGTGATCTTCATGAGTGTTTATATGAGGATGTCATGTTTGACTCGATCAAATGCCTTGACAAAGTCAATGAAGCATAGATATGTTTCCTGTAACTTTTTGTCCGTTATGATAGCAGGGTTATCAGTGTGGTGATTCTCTCGATGGTGCCAACTTTTGGCTGAATGCCATATCGCAAAGAGTTGATCTTATCGTAGAATTTTAACTTATGTGGTCACAGATTACTTTTGATAAAACCTTCATTATGTGGTATCCGGGCTGTTGTCCAATGCTGTTCACATTTTGTGTTTTTTTTTTTTCTTCAGGATTGCTACAAAATAGGCTGTA